AAGGGGATGAGAGAAAAGAGGGAAATTAAAAACAAGAGGAGAAAGGAGATACAAAAGATACGAGGAAAGAGAAATAAAATAGAGAGGACATGAGAGAAGTGGAGAGAGAAAAGAGGAGAGAAACATTAAAAGAGGGAGGAGAAAGAGAGAGATAGTGAAGTGGGGCTATGGAGAGAGAGTGATTTACAAAGAGCAGTGACATTTTTCCAGTCTGGACTGATTAGAGTCAGCTGTTCGTTCCTCGCCCTGGACAGTACAGTATTTGCTATTTAGTTCACATGAGCAAAACATGAGAGCTAAAAGTAGCTAATTTAACAGCTGTCAGACACTTAGCATGTCTGGGGTGGGTTTGAAGGTTGTACTAAGGTCTCAGGGCTCATTCACACTCAGGCTATAAAGTGAATTGTAGCCTTCCTGAGCCTGTCTCCACCCAGCACCATTCTCACACACTGTAGGAGCGAAGTGACCAGCCACTATGTGAGCTCATACCCAATGTTGCCTTCCTTTGTTCTTTCCCTCCCCCCTCCCTCTCCTTCCTTCCTTCCTTCCTTCCTTCCTTCCTTCCTTCCCTCCCCTCCATCCATTCCCTCGCTCCCCTCCATCCATTCCCTCCTTCCCTCCAAAAACTCCACTTACTGGTTAAGCCACATGTGTACACTCTGATCGCCTCTTTACAACCCTGCTCTCTTCCAATAAACCCAGAGTAAATCTCATACCAGTTCTCAGTCTGCTGTCTTGTAATGATCTGCTCAAACACATCCCGAGTTTAGATTAATTTCAATCACAGCTTGTCACTCAGCTATCAGGGCTCTGGAGTTATAGCATCAGCAGTTTAAACTCAGTGCGGTGGCTCAGATTCCTGGACGTGTAAAGCGGTGTACCAGGTGGGAAAAGTGATTTCTAGAGAAAGGATCAAATAGGAATGTTGAAAATTGTTAATTCCACTTTAATTCTGGAATCATCCCCATTTTGTTCTTAGACCGAGGAACTAAACCTGCTTTAAAATGAAAATGTTAACTCGTATCATACTTGCCAGACTTTTTCGGATTTTGACTATCAGCAGAAACATAAAAACAGGAGTAGGCCAATCAGCCCCTCAAGCCTGTTCCGTCATTTTATAAGATAGTGGCTGATCTGTACCTCAACTCCAATTACCTGCGCTTGCCCCGAATCCCTTGATACCCTGACCTAACAAATATCTATCCACCTCACTTTAGAAAATGCGAATGGATCCAGCATCTACAGCCTTTTGGGGGAAAGAGTTCCAGATTTCCACTACCCTTTGGGTGAAAAACTGCCTCCTAATTTCACACCTAAATGGCTTAGCTGTAATTTTAAGATTATGCTCCCTTGTTCTGGATTCCACCACCAAAGGAAATAGTGGTCGGAAGGAGCTGACCATAGAACCATAGAAATTTACAGCACAGAAGAAAGCCATCGGCCCATCATGAACAGTCACAAGGGGCTGGTATTCTTCCCGACATGGAGCAGACCAGTTACTGAGGGCTGGGATCCTTAGCCACGAGGTCCATCTGCTGTCTGTATTCAGCGTTTAATATTTCACCGGACTTCATGTGTCACTGATACACTGAAGGTATTTCATGGGCACCTATTGTAACTAGAAACTTGAATGACTTTGTACTTTGTCAGGGTCCAGAGTTTCTCTGATTGAGATATTTAATACAATGAAGGGAATTGACGGGACAGATAGGTGACGTCTCTGCTCTGGTAGATGGGCTCAAAACAAGATTACATAATCCTAAAATTAGAGCTAAACCAATGGTCACATTTTGGCTTATTCAATGCATCTAGATTTGAAGGTTATGAGCTGAGATTTGAGGTCATAATCTTTGCTGACATTCTAGCGCAATATAGGAGCGGGTAGTGGCGCTGCATTTTCAGAGGTGCTGACTTTAGGATGAGACATTAAGCCAAGATTGGTCTGCTTATTTTCAGGTGGATGGTACAGATCCTATGACACTGTTCAAAAAGTGAAGGGAGTTTCTCCCAGTATCCTGGTCAACAGTCCTCCAGGTTAATTGATTAATTACCTCTTGCTTATTAATGGGACCTTGCTCTGTGCAAGATGACTGCCACATTTAGTCTGTTACACTGGGGTCCTGCAGCTTAGTGGTTACAGCACTTGCCTCACAAGCGAGAGTACCTGGGTTCCATTCCCGGCAGGGCAAAACATTGGGCCACACTCCACACGCCTCCTTAACGCCACACGCCTCTGTTCACCTGGCAGTAAGTAGGAACTTGACTGTTAGTCGATTGGAGGATCGCTTTTCTGCGGGTAATAATCCCTTCAAAAAATAATAAACGATTTGGTCAATCAATCCATGACTATGTGTGGGCACTGCTGTGCACAATTGGCCACTGTGTTTTACCCACAAATTACACAATCAATTCACTTTATAGTATCAAAACACAAAATACTGCAGATGCTGGAAACCTGAAAGAAAAACAGAAGTCTCTGGGAACACTCAGCAGGTCAGATCATCCCCTGTCCTCTACCCCATTTTCTGCTTTGTCTTCCTTGCCCTACCTCCCTCCTCTCTGTTAGCCCTAAAAAGCCTCTCCCTCCCAACATGCTCCAGTTCTGATGAGGGGTCATGGGCCTGAAACTTTGACTCACTTTACTTTTTCCATAGATGCTGCCTGACCTACTGAGTGTTCTCAGCTACTTCTGTTTTTGTTTCACTTTATAGTATATTGTGTGAAGCGCTTTGAGATGTCTCGAAGACGTGATAAGGTACTATATCAAATGCAAGGATTATTATTATTACTTTTACATTTGGCTACAAAACAGACAGTATAGTGCATAGACATTGATAAAGTGGTATAAACATATATTTTCCCTTTTTCAAAGTGAATTCTTCATAAAAAGAATTTGTGCGAATGCAGATTATCAAACAAAATTACATTTGTGTAGCACCTTTCATGTCAGGAGGATGTCCCACCTGAAGGTTGTAAAAGTAGAATGTATTTGGATGTTTAAAATAGATAGATAGATAGATAGATAGATAGATAGATAGATAGATAGATAGATAGATAGATAGATAGATAGATAGATAGATAGATAGATAGATAGATAGATAGATAGATAGATAGATAGATAGATAGATAGATAGATAGATAGATAGATAGATAGATAGATAGATAGATAGATACTCAGGTAATAATAACATGACAAGATGTGGAGAAAACGCAGGAAAGTGGGATTAAAAGGATCTAATAAAATAGCAGAACAGGTTTTGACAGACTCAACGTCCTACTTTTGTTTCTTTTTTCTCACGCTCTTCTGTGGATTGGAGACAGATACAATATTGTGACACAAAAGTCATCTTGATAAGATTCAGCTTCTATCAAACACAGTTGTCTTTGCACATCTTCACTCTCCACTTCCCATCCTTTACTGCTACTAGTGGATTATGTCACTTTCACAATGTTCGCAAGCACCTTATATCCCATGACTGAGGAAATTAATTGGAATGTTTTTGTCTAGCAATTGATAGGGTGCCTTAGCTGACCACAGTGTGTAAGATAATAATAATCCTTGCATTTGATATAGCGCTTTTCACGTCTTCTAGACGTCCCAAAGCGCTTCACAGAATATACTGTAAAGTGAAATGACTGTATATTTGTGGGCAAACGTGGCAGCCAATTGCACACAGCAGTGTCCCACTGTTGTCTGCGTGAGCCAGTGTCCCACTGCTGTCTGCGTGAGCCAGTGTCCTTTTGTTCTCTATAGTTCACTATGCTAAACATACCAAGTTTTAATTTATCTATAGCCTGGAATATATCAATAAAATCTCTCCTGAGATTTTATTCAAATCCACTGAGTCTTCTCTTCTGGTCTTCCTGCTGTTACCTCAATGGAAAAAAGGTTTCATCAAAGTCTGCTGTGATTCGCAAGTCTTTGTACTCCTGCCAATACCTACAGCTATTGTTGCTATTGTGCAATTTTATCAAAATTGATGCGTAGGACAGGCTGTCCATATCCAGATTACTAAGTACTGCAACTTACTATCTGGAGCTTGAGCTCTAGGTGTAGGATGTATTATGTGTAGAGGATATATTTACCTGATGATTTGTAACTCCTATAATGCTGGACGAGATGGTGGCATCATAGAATCACGAAAGTTGTAACACTGAAGAAAGTTCCTCTACAGTCTCAACATCTCAAAACACTTCACAGATAATTGTTGTAAATGCAGAATGCAGAGACGAGTCAAAGTTATAAGCGATTCATTCAATTGATTGTATCACCACCGAAAGACAATGTGACAAGATAACAGTTTTTAAACAATTTAAACGAATTGATCTAAGATCCAAAACACCTCCTTTATTCCATGTTTTATAAATGTTGAATGCTGTAAGTGTGCATAGGCGTTTACACTTTTAAAATACAAGTTAATAATAATAATAATTCTTGCATTTGATGTAACGCCTTATCACATTGTTGATACATCTCAAGGCGCTTCACAGGTATACTGTAATGTGAATTCACTGTATGTTTTGTGGGCGAATATTTCCATCATTTTTTTCATTGCTTCTGATTAACTGGGCAATAATTAAGTTGCTGTTAAAATGGGAGTTCCCCAACCAGTGTTCTGGTGTATCTGGCTTTGCCACATTAACTCTGTCCCATTTAAGAAATCTGCCAACTAAATAAGCAGATATGCATTGCTGCCAACTTAGCTTGCTGCTATCTCAGGAGTGCCTCACATTCTCTCCAATCACATGTTAGCTCAGTACATCTTCCTAAAGAGGATGGGTGCCTTTTTTACAATTGAAAGTGCATTTTGGCTCAGCATGATGAAGAGCTTCAGCAAATTCACATCTAATTTATGCAGCAGCTCATCAGTACTTTGAAGCTTTGATTTTATGTTAAAACCAGTAAAGTGCGTGATCCTCGGCTTCATGTTATTGAACACCATATCTGCAAAACACTGTTCCCTGTTGGATATTTAATGGAGCTTCTGTTTGGGTTGCAGGAGCCAGAGGAAGTTCAGCGCACTCTGAAACAGGCACACCCGACCAGCACCAGCCTAGCCAAACACACCCGTCCTTTCCTGTTGGGGCACAGGTTAGTATATTATGCTTTTACAGTGAGAAAGCCTGTCTGCATGATTTGCTTCTGACTATCTGAAAGTACGCACTGGAACATTCAGCAACTTTAGCCTGAACCACTACTGCACATAAAAGGTACCACATATCATGCGTGCATTATCCAAAACGGTGCATATATGGTGCATTAAATCGTTAAGCCTTTCATTATTGAGTGTGTGGAAACGGAGTCAGGTAAGTGTCCACACTCTAGGTCTGAACACAACTCCTGCTGTTTGAGTAAAGACTTGCACACCCTTCACTGAGCATGTTGACCTTCTATTGTAATGTACAGTATCTCTTTATGGGATTCCTCAATAGGAATCTGAGCAGCACAAATGAGGACTCTTTCCGTAACTGAATGTACCAGTCTGCTCGAGCTCCACTGCAACAAGATCTGCGTCCAATGCTGAGGGATATTCATGAGGGACATAAACTGACCACCTGCTCCCTCAACCCAATCACAACCCCTCTCCTTACCTCCCAGCTCCACCTCTTTGCTCCCCTACTCACAGACATCATAAACCTATCCCTGTCTCTGTCACCGTTCCCACCCCTCTAAAAACGGGGAGATCACTTCTATCCTTAAAATATCCTTCCTGGACCCATCCCTGCTCTCAAACTACCACCCCCATCTCCAACCTCACTTTCCTTTCCAAGTCCGGGAACGAGTCGTTGCTTCCCAGCTTGTCTACTTCCTCTCCTGCCACTTCCTTCATGAACCCCTCTAATCAGGTTTCTGTGCCATCCACAGCACAGAAACAGCCCTGGTCAAAGTGACAAATATCATTTTGTCCATCTGCAACCAGGGCTCCCTCTGCCTCCTCGTCCTCCTTGACCTCTCTGCTGCCTTCGATACCATTGACCACTCTATCCTCCTCTACTGCCTCTCCTCTCACCTCAACCTTCATGGTTCTGTCCATGAATGGTTCAGATCCTACCTCTCATACTACCTCATTTCATCTCTACAAATTGTTTCTTCTCTAGCCCTGCACCGGCTCATGTGGCATTCCTCAGGACTCTGTCCTTGGTCCCCTCCTTTTCAATATCTATATGCTCCCTCTTGGTGACATCATCTGCAGACATGAGGTCAACTTCCACATGTATGCGGATGACAGCCAACTCTATCTCTCTATCCACCCTTGACTCCAGGACCACTGCTGTCCTGACAGAATGTCTGTCAGACATCAAGTCCTGGATGAGAGCTAACTTTCTACAGTTGAACGTCAACAAGACTGAGACCCTCCTGATTGGCTGCCATCAGCAACTCCACACCTCAGGCGTTGACAACATCACCATCCACGGATGCAGACTCCACCTCACTGAGCCAGTCCAGAATCCTGGTGTCTTGTTTGATCCTCAACTATCCTTTCTACCCCACATCTATGCCACGTCCCGCTCTGCCTTCTCCCACCTCTGCAACATCGCCCAGCACCTTCACTGTCTCACAGCGCAGGCCGCTGAGACCCTTCATAAAATCCAGGTTCGACCATGCAAACTCCCTGCTTGTCGGCCTTCCCAACTTCTCGCTCCATAGGCTGCAGATCATCTAGAACTCTGCAGCCCGTGTCTTCCCTGACACCAGGCTCCACGACCCTATCACTTCTGTTCTCACCCCGCTCCACTGGCTTCCCATCACACGGAGGATACAGTTCAAGATCCTAGTCTTCACCTTCAAAGCCCTCCATGGCCTTGCTCCCCCCTACCTCTGCAACCTTCTAGCTCCCTACTAACCTGCTCACTTCCTCCGCTCAATGGGCTCCAGTCTGTTTCACGTCACCCGACTTGCCTGCCCCACCATTGGCAGGAGGGCCTTCTGCCACTCTGCCCCAACCCTCTGGAACTCCATCCCGCAGTCCCTCCACCTCGCCCCCTTCCTTGCCTCCTTCAAGACTCGTCTCAAGATCATCCTCTTCGACATTGCCTTTGGTCACCCTCCTTCCCCCCTTCTCTCCCCCCTCCCCGATCCAGACCCCCACCTTGGGTCCGAAACACAGATTGTCCAGTGCCTTGGAGCATCCTCAAATGTAACAAATGTAATTTTGTTGTTAATTGATGAAATAATAAATTGTCAGAGCCCAGTTACCTCTGTTATTTCCTAATGTTAGCTATGTGCCTCATTGGAAGAGAAATATTATACAAAACAACATAATTTAAAGAAAGGATATTTAAGGGAGAACCTAATAGATCTAATAGTTTAAAATTACAAAAGGATTTGATAAGGTTAACACAAATAAGCTGTTTCCACTGGTTGGGAATTCCATAACCAGGGCACACAAATATACGATAACGAATAATGGATCTAAAAGTGAATTTAGGAGGAACTACTTCACATAGAGGGTAATGAGATTGCGGTACCCGCTGCTGAAGCAGTGGTAGAATCAGTTAGAATAGGTGAAGTTAAGATGGAGCTAGACCTTCACATGAGGGAGAGGGGAATAGAAGGGTATGGGAGGAAGTAAGCAAGGGGTGAAGACTCATGTGGAGTATAAACAATGGCACGATTGGTTGAGCCAAGTTGCTTGTTTCTGTGCTGTACATTCTTTGCAAATCTGGTAAATCTTTGCGATTTATCTTTATATAGCACCTTTCACATCAGGATGGTGTCTCAAAGCACTTCATACTGCTGGATGGGCACCCAAGATGGTGGTGGTGGTGGTGGTGAGGTGGCAGTTTCAGGAGCATTACAGAAAATCAAGGGTAATTTGCAAGATTAGTAAAAGGATTCCCAAAGAGGGAATCCTGCAGGCACCCGAATATGTCTCACTCTATCCAGCCTGAACTCTGTTTAGATTCTGAGCTCCTACCAGTATTCACTGTTGCCCTCAATCTGACTTCACGGAAGCTTTAAATGAGATTGACATCTGAGTGATATCCAGTGGTCAGCAGGAGATAGGTCCAGTGGCCCGGCATTCCTCTTATTGTAGTCTGTACGACAATTTAGTTGAGTTATCTTCCAATTTAAAACCAAATTCTGAATTCAAGCTCCCCTGTCTTTGGGCTCTTCAGCTCCTCCCTACATAAGCCAAAGACCATCCGGGGCACTGCAGCCTGTCTCTCCTCCCGCACCAGGCTCAATGAGCCCATTACCCCAATCCTCGCTTGGCTTTCCAGCGGATTCAATTCAAGGTCCTCATCCCCACTTTCAAATGCCTACACACCCTTGCCCCGTGCTACCACTGTGAACACCTTCCACTCTATTGTTCTGGCTGCTCTCTGTTCACGAAACACCAGCTTATTTCATGGCCCTTACCTGATCAGTCCTGCTGTTGGTGGGTGACCATTTTGTTGGCTACCATTTTGGAACTCCATCTAAGCCCCTCGTCTCCTCCCTCCCCACCTTCAAAACCCATCTTGAGACCTATCTAGTTGTTTGCACTTTCGGCCCCTCCTGCCCTCCTGCCCACCGCCCCCCCCACCCCTATCTTAGGTTTCCAGTCAACTATGTGAAGCATTTTGAGACATCCCCTGACGTGAAGGACCCTGTATAAATGAAAAATTTTGTAGCTATCGTTAAATTGAAGAATCTTCTATGATTTTACGCACTTAAATTTGAAGACTGATTGGGATAAAAACTCTATTCAGCGTTACATGTAGCGCATTTAACGATGTGCAACCTTAATGGGAAATCTCACTAGTGGCTGACTTCAGCAATTTGCAGAACACTGAATGGAATTTTTACCCGATGAGTTTTACAGGCTGAGTGAGACCGGGTGAAATTTCATCCTCAGTTACAAGAATGATTTTTTTTAGCATATTTCAGAAAACGTATTCCACTGGAGCACAGTGACACAACACACAGTATCATCTCTGTCACTGATTTCCGTGTGTGGAGAGTCCAGGTCACATTGCCAGTGTTGAGCGACACTGCATTGTGCACAGCACCAAACATCACAGTAACAAAATAGAAAATGCTGGAAACCTACAGCATATCAATTAGAATCTAAAAATAAAAAGACTGGTGAACCTATTGGGCATACCCCTTTCACCAGAAACCAATGAGGGCTCGTGACTGGCCTTAACTTGTCTTCACGTCTGAGATTTTCCAGCATTCACTAAGATTTTCTAGCATTCTCTGATATCTTTTTTTATTCCGACAATAAAGGCTCAGCTCCGATGGGGTAATTTATTGGGGGCTCGCATTATATCAGAAATTGCGGGCACATCCTAACATAGACTTGCAACCTCTGATGCCTTGTGCAGCTGATGCTGGGAAGGAAGGGGCAGAGTAGTACAGGGGGAGGGTGATTTAAAAGCCATTCCCTCCCTGCACAGAGATGAGGGAAACACGAACGTTTTTGGTGTGTTGAAAACTCCTGTTTGGGGATTAGGATGTGGAAGGTTTCTTTAATTTCAAATTGGTTTTCGGAGGATGTATTCATTGCTGCTGAGGTGGCGGAGTCAGCAGTACAGGGCTGAGAACTGTCTGCAGCTCACAATTACACCCACAGCATCTCCAATACAGCTTTATACCATCCTCACCCTCTCCACAGGCAACCCTTTACATGGAAACCCTGTGTGTCCAAGTATGCACAGGATTTTCACATCATTATAAAGTTTCAGTGTTGACAGACTCACCATTGATCCAGCCCGGCAGCAATGTCAATAGTCACTATATTTTGACAAATGACATTGTGCAGTTTTAAGTTGAAATGAATTTTAAATCAGCAGCCAGCCTGGGATAATGGGCCTTTTCAGGTCATTAGAGGCAAGGAGTGGGATTAGTTTCCTGCACTACAGGCCACTGACACCTGACGGAATCAAGCGTGAACAGTCGGCCTCAGGCTGACAGGCTGAATGGTGGGAAACAGCAGCAATGCAGAGATACAGAAAGAAGGGGAGAGAGAAAGAGACAGAGAGACGGAAGGGGAGAGAGAAAGCCAGAGAAAGCGAAAGGGAGATATACTTCCAGAGAGAATGAGAGAGGGAGACAGAGAAGGAGAAAGGGAGACAGAGGGGAAAGACAGTGAAAAACAGATA